GAGATGTCTGTTAAAGATCGCTTCATCTGGAAAGCATCTGCTGTGTACAAACATCTGGTAGACGTCTTTAAAGGTGACATATTATGCCCCTTTTTACAATATGTAATATAAGTCTCTGGTGTCCCCAGAATGTGTCTGGGAAGTTTCAGCTCAAAATACTCCACAGATCATTTATTATATATTTTGAGTGGAAGCAGAAACAAAGCTGTTTTTGGGCCTGTGTCTTTAAATGCAAATGAGCTGCTGCTCCCCGCCCCCTTTTCCAGAATAGGGCTGGGTCTTTACAGCTGGTATCTGCTAAACATATCTGTTTTGGTTCTGATTATCATGTAATCATAATGTAACAGCATAATAATGCAAGAAGGCCTACACACTTCCAAATGACAACAAACTTTTAATTTTTAAGAATATTTAGATCATGGAAATTAAGTATCAAAATATTAGATACCTTAAAAAAACCTGAATAAACAGTAAATAAACATTTTGTAACAAAAAGTGCAAAGTAACAAGTAGAAAAAAAGAAAACTGCACAAAGAACTTGTATGGAGATTTTTGTATGGAGATTTTGGATATTGCGTCACCAAAAATTATTGAGGTCATGTACATATATTGAGCAATAAGTCGACATATTGATTATTGCGACAGGCCTAATTCACACACAAGTTTACGTTAAAAACACACGAGTTACAATGAGATCCCTTTGCCACGTCACCAAGGGAGTGAAATCAGACGCGCTCGTTTTCTTAGACGCTTGCAGAAAAAGGCTTACCTAAACAAAGTGATTGGGTTAATCGTTTTCACGTTTCCTTGGTTGGTAGATGCACCAGGGACCTGATTATAGCACTTTCAGAATTTCATGATATGTCACCTTTAAACCTTATTGGCTTTGTTTGATTTGCATGACTGGTATAGTAACTTACACTCCACGGCTAACCTGCTCCGGGGCAGGTTATGTTCTGGGTAAGAGATCTCAAACTGAAATTGGACCAATCAGATGGGAGCAAAGTGACATGTCTGACGCAAAAAAAAAAGGTCACTATAAAGTACCTTAAAAAAATTACAACAAAATTGTCTGGCTTTAATGATAATTACAATTTACATATTATTTATATAATTATAATATAATTTATATTATTATTAATCCATTACACACAAGCACTTTTAGTTTAACAATTATTATAAAGCATATATTTTAAATGAATATTAATATATACAGATCATATGCAATAAAAATAAGTGGTAGAATCAATAGGTAACACTTTAAAAATGGCCACATGTGACCTTACATGTTCAAGTCTTTATTGCTATATATTATCAACTATATAAACGAACTTCACAAGTTTCACTTGTGACTACACTAATAGAGCAAGATCATTTCATTTATTTGTCCTCTTTCATTGACAAGTGCTTCAGTGTAAATGCAGTGGTAAGGGGCGTAACATTTCCGTCACACGCTTGAGGTATTCGGCCAATCACAACGCACTGGATAGCAGGCCAATCAGAGCACACCTCGCGTTTCAGAACGATGAGCTTTGTAAAAATCGACGTGTTTCAGAAAAGCAGGGCATAGAGGAGAAACAATAATGTACAGTATGTGGAAAATAATGCGTTTTTTGAACCTTAAACCGCATAAACACATTTCATTACACCAAATACACAAAATAATGTTCTTTTTAGCAAGATCATATGACCCCTTTAAATCTGCCGCAGACCAGCAAATCACTGAGAACGCGCTATAATCCTGACCAGTCATAGCAACAGAGCAGAGGCGAGAAAGCTGCGGAGAATCCGCTTACCCGGAAGCAACCATAACTGACATAGATTTACAGAAAATTACTGCCGTTTGGAAAAAAATAATAATTTTACGTACTTATTCCTAACTCTTTACGCTTTAAATTACATTTCAAATGACAAGGTTTTCTGACCGATGAGCTTTGTAAAAATCGACGTGTTTCAGAAAAGCAGGGCATAGAGGAGAAACAATAATGTACAGTATGTGGAAAATAATGTGTTTTTTTAACCTTAAACCGCATAAACACATTTCATTACACCAAACACACAAAATAATGTTCTTTTTAGCAACATCATATGACCCCTTTAAAGTTCTTTATTTAGAGAAATTTGTAGAATATGATGATGCATAGTAAGTTGTGGAAAATGTATTTAAGTACATAAAGATTCAGAGTAAAGCATAAAGCAAAAAAAAGTAACATTATGTAAAATATGCTTATTTCATAAAGTTGTCAGAGTGGTATGTATAGTAATATGAAATAATATGTATAATGTCATTTTAGTGGCATTACACATTTGTGTCCTAGCATTTAAAATAAATGATGAATTCTGCCTTTGCTGTATCATATGATGGAGTGGCATGTTATCAGACCTGTTAAAAGCTCTGACAGAGGACAGAGACTTTGTCCCAGTTTGTCTCAGTCAGCACGTTAGAGTCAGTCTGTCTCCCCATCTGGGTCCATGCACATCTGCTGCTGGCTCCTCCCCTCATTTGCTTCATAGAGAATAAATCCTCATTTGTGTTTGTTTTACAATAACTCTACCGTCCTTTGTAATTGCAATCCGATCGTTATGCTGTTATCTATAAAGAACAGCAATGCGATGTATGTTGAAAATAAAAGAAGAAAGAACCAAAGGCTCATTGAAGAGAACTACGAGCAGACTTGATGTAGTGGAATGACCTTGGATGAAACTCATTACTGGTACGAATCATGGATTGTTCTTGTCTGGAAAATACACATGCTGAAATTGCCAAGCAAACAACATTCATAAGGGCTGGGAATAACTGAATATATGCTGAATAATTGGTTAATGAATGATTGCAATGAAATGTCATAATAACAAATGTGAAGTTTTAAGTTCACCAGCATGAAGGTCAGAGTATGTAACCATTTAGCAGATAAACTTTATGGGATCAGATTATAATTCCTATAGGAAGCATTTCCATCTCAATGGCAGTTGCTCAGGTGGTTCAGGACCCTTGGAAGTAAAGGACTGAAAATGTTTGGTCAAGGGAACCACTGAAAGGTTTTGAGGCAATCAATCAATCAATCAATCAATCAGTCTATCAATCTTGATAATGTTGATTGGCTGATGAAATAACAAGAACATGCAAAGGCCTTCTCTACTGACTACAATGATAAAAAAAAATAAAAAAAAATAAAAAAAATAATAAATAATAATAATAGTAGTAGTAATATACTACTACTACCACTACCACTACTAATAATTGTTTGATAATTGATAATGTTGATTGGCTGATGGCACAACAAGAACATGCATAGGCCTTCTTTAATAACTAAACTAAACTAAACTAAACTAAACAATAAAATAAAATATGCACAGAAAATATTAAATAAAATATATGAATATAAAATATTACCAATATATGTTGCCTACAACAAAAATCTGTTAGAATACACTGCTAATTTTAAATGTCCATTATAATAAAAGAGGTTTTTGAACCAGATTGGTAGTTACAGTATCAATCACCAGGGGCTAACTATGTAAACCTTGACACTTTTACACAAGCAAGTAACCGTCAGGTTACCAGCACTGATAATAAACCTCTACAATCACACCATCTTTATGTTATAACTGCAAGATCCAAGGTGTGCAGCTGGTCTGACATTGTAAAGCAGTGACTTTCTTGTCCTCCATGTTGTTCCTGAGGTGGTGTCCAGTGGATGTACTTTATTGAGATTCCCATGTCATTGAGTTACAGCCCTATTAGGCATAAAAAGGAGGTGATGGACTGTGACAGCACTGAGGAAAAGCAGCCACTGGGTCATTTCACATCTCTAATGATATTGTGCTGTGCTTTACTGCCCCCTAAATGTCTCTCACGGGCCTCTGCATATAGCAATTTAATTTATTCAAACTTTAAGACTTCTAGACAGTGCATGTGTCCAGGTTTCATGTACAAGATTAAATCTGTGCCCACCATACTTCAGGTCTGTTTGCCTAATACTCTTGAAGGCGGCAGACTGAAAATGCCTTCATAGATGTATATGGATCTGAACACACAAACCCTAATAATGGTGACAATCTACAAACATCAAATGAGTAAAAAGACCCATCAAATAGCTAACACGAGATGACAAAAACAACAACATCAGCATAAAGACAGCAAGCAGCAAAACAATAATCCTTGATCAGTAACCGCATAATTTATTCATGCTGCAATGCATCCTGGAAGCTGACAAACACTGAACAAATCAACAACATTACTCAGTATGAAACTAATACATGTTTTTATGTAGATTTAAATTAATTCACACATTTTAGTAGCTGTGAGACAAACTTTTTTTTATTACTACTAATCATAACTAAAATTGCAAACTTACTCTGTTCATCATTATCTGAAAGAGGGCAGTTCGACCTAAACTAAACTAAATTTCATTTTTCTTCAGTTCCTTTAAATGGTTTTGATTTGATCCCTCCTTCACTGTTATGTCAGCTAAAGCAGGCATATTTGGATTAAATAGTTTGATCACTTTTCTGGACAGAAACCACAGAGGACAAGGATTTCAGGATGATTCTACAATTAATCAATTGCCTTTTCAACCAATCACACAGAATCCTCTGTGTATTAAACAGAAGAGATTTTATTGCTTTGCAGCATGAAATGAAGACAGTTTTTGTTTTATTCAGCTGTATTTACTCAGTGCAACTTAACATCCAAGTGAAAGATATAACACCAACATGTCAGAAAAAAAACAAAAAAAAACAGAATCACTGAATTGGGAAAAAGGATCACCCCCTCCTAAAAATGGACTTATAAACTCAATCAGCTCTAGCTAATCACCTTCTCAATGGCACATTGAGAACAAAAAACTGTGTCCGTCTACATTTCAGGCTGCAAAGAAACAAAATGTGATTATTTTAAAGGGAGGTTTTACAACATATAAATTTTTTTTTTTACAGGTGTTTTGCCCGTATTTGGAATTTTGGGTTGAAGGAAATGACTGTATACAAATATAAAAATGTAAAAATTAAATTTATAAAACAAAATGTAAAAATTTATAATTTAATTATAAGCTAGAAGGAATTTGAATATATATATATATATATATATATATACACACACAACAAAATATATATATACACACACAACAATATATATATATACAACAAAATATAATGAATACATATTTAAATTTTTTATTTATTTAATGACCCACATCATCTGTATCTAATGCTAAAGCACATTGGAAACATTTTATTCCAGTATACTCAATTTAGAAGTCTGCCCTACACCATGCAATGCCCTCTCAGAGGCGACTGTCTGAGGATATGCCTTCATTTGTCTCAGCCAAGCTATTGATTCTCACTGAACCTGTAGTAAGACAAATAACTCTTGGTAAACAGGCGAAAGTTTCGAAAACTTGGTGGGTTGCATTTTAAAGGATGTAGCAAACTCTGGAGTCTGGGGCCTAACTGTCATCAAAACCATTACCCCATCACGTGAATGAACTGAAGTGTTTCACATTTTAGTGATTTTTGCACAGTCACCGCTCTGTGTCCTATGCCAAAATGGGCAGATTTTTTTGAGGAATGAGAACTCCTCTCATCTGCATCAAAAGCAGTATCAAAACACAATCAGCATTGTGCAATGAGGGCTGAAGATAGCAGCACATCCCATCTGTCTGTGCGTATTTGTTCTTACACATCAATGGCTTTTAAAAGGAAGAAGAAATGGATCGTAACAGCCGGAAGCTTGATTATAGCCACTGAAGTCTGCAACAAACTGTATTTTTTGTTAAGAGTTACAGAATGTATTCTTTAGAATGCATGTTTCTTAAATTATTATTTTTTCCCCAGGAACTAACAGACAAGATGAAAATTTGTTTATTTATATATATATATATATATGCTTTTATTTAAATTTATATAGTGAGATTTTCTGACTGTCCAAATGCCTGGCACAAACTGCAGTGTTTAGACTCCAAAATTAAAAAGGTTTGACATGCGTTTAGCTCATACTGTTGTGTTGTTTTACCAGAGAACAAAGATGCTTGTTCATTTATGAAATGCTTTTACCCAAAAAAAGTACTGTGAGCCATTCAGACCCATTCAGAGCAGTGAAAGCGTGTGGATTTTCAGCAATCAGTGCAGCTGTCAGCGGCTCTCTGGGAGCATCATTTCAGAAATGCTATCACTTAGCAGATATTCTCGGATCCAGCAGCATTTGACACCTCATAAACTGACATCCCTTCATAGCTGACAGTCAACTTGTCTTTCCCATAAAAATGTATGCGCATTACATTAATCAAAAAGTGCATACATTTTGTTGATCTGATCTTTGTCTGTACATCTTTCACAGCTGGTTCAAATACTACCTACAGAGGAAAACTTCTTGCTATTTTTCAGACAACAGCTGAAATCCTGTGCAGAATTTATGAAGGTGAGTCTGAAATGTACACAGTTTAAACAAACTAGAATAGATAATACCACTGCACTGCATGTGTTTGAAGTATACACTTACAGTGATTACAGCACTAAATCAGCATATTAGAATGATTTCTGAAGGATCATATGACACTGAGGACTGGAGTAATGATGCTAAAAAATTAAGCTTTGCCATCACAGGAATAAACAACATTTTAAAATAGATAACCGTTAGGTTAAATTGTAATAATATTTCACAATATTACTGTATTTAGCGACTGTATTTTTCATCAAATAAATGCAGCCTCGGTGAGCATAAGAGATTTCTTTCAAAAAAGCATGTTGAATAACTTAAAGACGTTTAAAAAATGTAAATGTAAATTCTAAAGATCAGCGTCAGCTTTCTGTAACAATTCCAATGGTTAAATTTATTAATTTTTCCACCAGGCTTGGAGAAATTATGATGCTGATCACAGTGGATACATCGAAGCTGACGAACTCAAGGTAAGAAACAATCTTTTAACCTTTCAAAAGATGTGAGCTCAGTGAGCAGCCTTCTTTGTTGAGTAACAACGTTTATGGTCTGCTGAGATTTACTTTTTATGCTCCTTATGTGGGAACCAGAGACCCCAATGCTGTAGGTGTAAAAATAATAATAGTAATTTTAAACCTGTTATTTTCCCTTCAAATATGTATGTTGCTCTGACTTAACCGACACACTACAGCTTTAACTCTGTATTTTACAACCAGGTCAACATGTACTTTTCAGAAATGTGACTACAGTAACATTTCTGGTTCTGTTTGAGGTCAGTTTGACCTCAGCAAAACCATGTTATCAAAAAATGCAATAAAGCAAAATAAGTGTACTGCAGTCTTAATGTGTAAAAATACTTTGCGGTGATTCATTTTTGGAGTTCATAATCTGTTCACATATGCTTGGATAAAATTCATGAAGTATCCAGTTACTTAAAGGAAGAGTTCACCAAAAAATGACCACCCAAGATGTACAGTAGATGAGTTTTTTTTCTCCACTGGAACCGATTTGGAGAAATGTAGCTTTACATTACTTGTTCACCAATGGATCCTCTGCAGTGAGAATGACAGTCAGAATGAGAGTCCAAACAGCTGATAAAAACATCACAATAATCCACAAGTAATCCACATGACTTCACTCCATCAGTTAACATCTTGTAAAATGAAAAGCTGTGTTTGTAATAAATCCATCAAGATATTTTAACTTTTAACTGTTGCTTCCAGCTAAAATCATAATATTGCCTTCTCCAGTGAAAAGGTCATCTTGTCTAAATTGGGTGAGAAATATGCACAGATGAAGCACCGTTAACAAGCAAAACTAGTCCAAAATAGTTCTAAACAAAAATGTTGGTGGATTTTGATGTGAGAGGACAACAGGGATGGACTTTTTCACTGGAGGAAGCGTTATTATGGATTGGTATTTTGGCCAGAAGTGACAGTTTAAAATTCAAAAGTATTCTGATGGCACCCATTCGCTGCAGAGGATCCATTGGTGAGCAAGTGATGTAAAGTTAAATTTAACCAAATCTGTTCCAATGTAGAAACAAACTCATCTACATCTTGGATGGCCTGAGAGCTTTTTTTCTTTTTCTTTTTTGGTGAACTATTCCTTAAGTTTAAGTTAAGTTTGTTATTTAAGACATACTGGAACCTGCTCTGGAGTTTCTTTCTCAAGAAGTCAGCAGTGCTCTAGGTCTTTCTCTAGCATGTGGACTGGAGGGTACGACAACAAACTGAACAAAAGATTTGATTTTGGGCCCAACACTAATCACCACATGCACCCCTCAAAGGAGCTTGTGTAAAGTAAGCACTGAGGATTTATGCATTTAAATTAAAATAGGGAGAGGTTTCTTTGAACAGCTGCCAGATTTACAGTCAGTGATTTGATGAGTGCAATCTGTCAACACTGGACTGCTTTTGGACCCACTAATAGACCTCCGGCAGGAAAAGCAAATTCTGAGAGCTCTTGTGAAATATGGACATTGCATTTTGGAGACAGCAGCACTACAAACATAATATGGATAGTTCATGGATGCTGATTGGTCAAAACAGGTTATATTCTATAATCAAGTGCAACAGTGCCTGCTCACTTTTTTTAGCAGCCTTGGTTATGGAAGTATTCTTCTCATGAATTTTTCCCATAGGGATTTTAAAAAGTCTTTGTTTCATAGTTATAAGCCTAAAAGGCCTAACTCATTTAGCTACAAGGTGAATCACAACATTAACATTTGGAAATCAGACTAAAAGACAAAAAGTACAAGGATTTAAAGAGGAAAATAACTACAATCCCATGAAGCATTGCAAATGACAATCAAATTAAAAATGACAGAGAACTTTTACCTTTATTGCAAAATATGCATATTATGCATACAAATATTTAGGTAGCCGAGTGTGTAGAGAAACTGATCACTTGCAGTGCTTCACAGAAGTGCAATTTATTTGTTGTGTTTCTCTGATTGGTGGAGATTTCTCTGCAGAATCATGGGTTTTTCACCAGGAATTTTGTTGCACAATTATTTAGAAAATAAGTTAAAATAATGCATGGTGGTATCTTCAATAGAAGTGTATAGCATCAATTAACAACCTCGTATCTCACAGTATTTCTGTCATTAAAGGTTTATAAGTTATTGTACAAAATCTATTTAATGCATCCTCAAAAGTAATACATTTGTAAAAAGTAATCTTACTGACCCCAAACTTACTTAATGACTCCGTGTAATCCAATCTAATGCTTTTCAGAATTTTTTGAAAGACCTGCTTCAGAGGGCTAAAAAACCATATGATGAGAAGAAATTAGAGGAGTACACACTGACTACGGTAAGTTCAGGGTGAAGTGCACAGCCCATCAAAAATGTGTATTTTGTGTCACCTTGGAGAACTTGCCATTTTGAGGGAATAAATATTGTTTTTTTCTTCTTTTTTTTTTACAGCTGAAAATTTTCGATTCAAATAAAGATGGGAAATTATGTCTGTCAGAAATGGCACGGTTAGTGAGCTTGGAAATGAATTATGAATATTTATCGCTGCCTATTAACTTCAAACATCTGTTATTTTTTAAACAGGCTGTTACCGGACCAGGAGAATTTTCTACTAAAATTTCAGGTATGTCAGCATTAGGAATTAACCCATAAATGGATTGGATTAACCCTTAACCACCTACAACTGAACAAATCTTTTCTTCAGGGGGTAAAAATGGCCAGAAAAGAGTTCAACAAGATTTTTGAGTTATATGATCAGGTAAGTCTCTTGCATTGATCAGTCACTCCTTCATATCATTTAATAATAAAGATCCTCTGTGCCCGACAGCCTTAAAATACATCAAGCCTAAACTTAATACTGGTTGATTTTATGCATAACCAAGCATGCATAGATCAGCCAAAGTGTCTCCAATTGTATAAGACCCGAGGAAAGCAGCCATTAGTATGCAAAGATAGTCTCTTTCAGTCTGGATATCACCTCCAACACCATTGAATCTTTTGGCCCTGGCTCCATTGTAATGTATTACTGTGTCCCTGAATAGGGCAAATTCCTCACTGCTGATGACAGCACCCCTGATCTTTATTGATTGGCAGGTTCGGGTTGCGAACTCGCATGGAGACCGGCTCAAACTCAAACATACCCGCTTTTGGGCTATTAGAAAACACAGAGTGCTGATGCGGCAGCATGTGCTTAAAGCTCTGAGACATTTCATTACAGATACACTGACTGCTGGTCTGCATTCAGCAGACATGTGGTTTGGCCTCATATTGTTTGCTCTGGGACTATGCAACAAGCTAGCATGTTCTTTCATCAGCTCATTAAGAGGTGATTTAAGGCCACTTTATGAATATTAAGGAGATACATAGACTTGACATGCTGGCTTATTCCTAATTTACTGCTTTAATGCCTCCTGAAAAGTCATAATGAAATTTATTTTGGATGCCGTATGGATGCAGTAGTTAATAGTTCACTCAAAATCTGTTATTTTTACCTTCAAAACATTATATAAGTATATAATAAAATTTTACAATGCGTGACAGTTTGTTCTGCAGCATCTATGCAGCCCCAGGTTGCTATGAACTGTTATTTTATGACCAAGAACTGTGCAACGTAAAATAAAATACAATTCCAATGAAATAATATTCCAATATTTTAAAGTAAAATCAAATAAAATCTACTTTTGCGTTCTTACAAATATAAGAAATATAAAATATAAAAAATTAAAATGATAAAAAATAAGGATTTGGTAGGGCATGGTGGTGAATAAAAACGGGGTTTTAAAAAAATTTGATGGTGAACTTTTCTTTTAAACCAAAGCCAATACATATAGTAAGTACACTGCCTTTTCAGGAGCATGTCTAAATGTCTCAAGCTATCTAACGGATGTTACAGGCCCACTTTCTCTGGCTGTTATTTCTTCAGAGCACCAAATGAGCACCTCGAGACCCAGCATGTCATTGCATTGACTCTGTGTGCAAAACCGATCCTTAATGCCCTGATTTCCAATCTCTCCCTAGAGAACATTGCATGAGGCGTCCCTAATGTCTGAATAGAGAATACAGGAAATGATAGTAAAGTGGCATGACGCTGAGTTTCCTCAGTGGCTGTCACACATCTGTGCTCGTTAATGTTCACTATGCTCTCCACCTCTCCCAGGACAGGAACGGTTACATGGACGAAAATGAACTTGACGCCCTCCTTAAAGACCTTTGTGAGAAAAACAACAAGGTACGTATCTAAAAAAAAAAACAGCTGATCGGAGGTTTCATGCTTTCATTTTCTGAGATCTGTTGATGTATTCTGACTCTCAGTTGAAGCCCACGATGAGCACAAACTATTTTCCTGAAGCAGACTCATAAATTATAATACTAGTGAGAAATCTAATCTCCTGCTGATGCATGTGGATTGCATGCAAATGTTCAGCTTTAGAAGATAGAAATACTTGATGTAAAGGAAGAAACTACTGTCATACTAAAACTATCATTACTAAAAAAAGGGAATTGTCTGGGATCAGTACAATTTCAGCTAGAAATCTGTAGATTACCACAGATGACATCTTAAGTCCCTCAGACTGTAGAAAAAAAATCAAAATTAGCGCATGTAGAAAAGCACTTACTATGGTATGTGGGGCAAAGCATTCTACAAGGTTTGAAGATTCCATGAAGTTCAGTTGTCTTTCTTGTGCCAACAAATTTCCTGTTAAAACAGGAAGTTTTAGCAGGGCCCATGTTTTAAAATAACTAGTTGGCTTCAGTTAGATACAGCTGAGTCATGATTAGCAACTTGCTAGCTTTGAATGGAGGAGGGGCCTTTTCATTCTAGAGAACATCTGATTAGACAAAAATCTGTAGTGCAGGATGAGTCATCAATAATGTTGGTCCATTTTCCCGGCTGAGAAAAATGACATTTTAAAGTTGAAAATTGTGGACTTGCATAGAGATTACCTCATAACTAAAAATCATGTTTTAGCAATCCAATTTTTTTTTTTTTTTTTTTTACAAAATGAAAAATGATTCCATTTTCTGTGGGAAACAACAGAGCCTGAACCTGGAATATACTTTTAAGGGGTAGTTTTGTCCAAAAGAATAAATAAAAAATAAAAGAAGTCATTCAAAAGTTTGGGGTCAGTAAGATATTTTAGTTGTTTTTTTTTTTTATCTCTTATGCTCACCAAGGTGGCATTTATTTGATTAAAATTACGGTAAAAACTGTAATATTGTGGAAATATTATTAGAAATGTAAAAAAACAAACTATAGTAATATATTGTAATTAATATATAGTAATATATTGTAATAAAATGTAATTTATTCCTGTGATGGCAAAGCTGAATTTTCAGCAGTCATTACTCCAGTCTTCAGTGTCACATGATCCTTCTACATCCATTGATTTGGTGCTCAAGAAACATTTCTTATTATCAATGTTGAAACTGTTGTGCTGCTTAATTTTTTTGTGGAAACCATGATACATTTTTTCTTTGATTAATAATGTTCAAAGAACAGTATTTATGCGAAATAGTAAAGCCATTTATAATGTTACAAAAGACTTCTGTCACTTTTAATCAATTTAATGCATCCTTGCTGAATAAAATTATTAATTTCTCAGAAAAAAAAAAAATACTGACACCAACTGTTCAGGCCATTTGGGACCAAGGGTTTGTTCACACCTCATAGATGTAGTAAAGTAAAAACAGTATACAATTCAATATATTTATACGGTTTGGGTTTTAAAAAATTTGCTGCATGTCTGAAAAAAGCCTTTGAGACTCATGAAAACTGAACATGTCTGATGCCACATTGACAGATGCTCTGAAGAATCACTGAAGATATTCTTCTGATCTCTGACAGGTTCTAGAAGTCAGCAAAATCAATTTTTTTGTGGAAACCATGATAAATTTTTTCTTTGATTAATAATGTTCAAAGAACAGTATTTATGCGAAATAGTAAAGCCATTTATAATGTTACAAAAGACTTCTGTCACTTTTAATCAATTTAATGCATCCTTGCTGAATAAAAGTATTAATTTCTCAGAAAAAAAAAAAATACTGACACCAACTGTTCAGGCCATTTGGGACCAAGGGTTTGTTCACACCTCATAGATGTAGTAAAGTAAAAACAGTATGCAATTCAATATATTTATACGGTTTGGGTTTAAAAAAATGTGCTGCATGTCTGAAAAAAGCCTTTGAGACTCATGAAAGCTGAACATGTCTGATGCCACATTGACAGATGCTCTGAAGAATCACTGAAGATATTCTTCTGATCTCTGACAGGTTCTAGAAGTCAGCAAAATCCCGACGTATAAGAGCGCCATCATGGCTCTGTCTGACGGAGGCAAGCTCTACAGAACAGAGTTAGCGCTGGTGTTGTGCGAAGAGGAGATGTGAACGCCTCCGTCTGTACTCACACCATCCCAGAACCCCGTCCTCAGCTCACCTGTGATGTGTAAAGTAGCTAGAACCCTCTTACGTTCTTTCATTTTGAATATGAATTTCACTTAGAAAGGCAACCCAGTGGCACATACTTTTCAATCTGTTGTTTCTATACTGTTTCTAAGTGTACAGATTTTTTAACAATGGCACACATACAATACTTACAACCTACACTGCATACATGAACACATTTCCCTCAACAAAAGAAGAAACCCAACAGGCTACCATATCCCCATCTCAATTCAATACCAGAAATATCCACCAATACCTATTCAGTAAGTATATTGATTTATCTTACAATATCATAGACAAAAGCAATAATGTCCTCAAAGAATGCTGTTGGTGGGATCCAGCGTATAAAACTCCAAAAGGCTGCATTTACTTTTGCGATGCATGTTTGTAACTGACGGCAGGCCCTGCTAGTGGGGTATTTTTGACTGCAAGCACATGCCGAATGTAATGCATCGCCCCAGTCCTGTCTCTAATGTTAGATTTTGCACTGTAAAAAATGACATGCTCCTTTATGCTAAACACCACAGACACTGTGTACGGTAATATTAAACTTATTGAATGACTACCTGCATCCAGTTGTTTGTCATGAATCCCTCAGTCTCTAAAAATCAGACTAATTTTAATTCTAAACATGTATGAGTTTCTTTCATCTGTGGGAAAGTATCTTTCCCCCCCCCATACAATGAAAGTCAATGGGATCCAGTGCTGATTTCTTTTGGACCCCATTGATTTTCATTTAGTTTCTTCTAAAGATCTTTTTTGTGTGTGTGTGCGTGTTCCGCAGAAGAAAGTAAGTCAGGTTTGGAACAATATGAGTAAATGATGAACATCTCAAGAAGTTCATTGTGTGATTTGTTGCAACAATCACAACATGCAAATGTTATTTTGCTCAGTCAATAAAATCATTCTTAAAATGTTTTGAAACAGTATGTGAACATAAAGCAGGGGTTGGAGAGTTCTAGCAAAAAACACAAAGCAACACTCAGTAGAGTTCTCCTTCCCATTTAAAGTTTCAACAGATCATGATCTTATCTTATAATTGAACAGTTGACCTTCCCAAAGCGGACACAGCAAGACATAAAACTTGTATCATTGTGAACAAACAGAAACACTCTTATCTAAACCCGTTTATTTAGCTGGAACGTTGAGAGCTTGATGAAACTAAATCAACTAGGATAGCAGCGTATTGAAAACGCATTTGATTTTCAAATTTTTTCATATCTATATCAAGATTTTATGTGTGGAATTTTCGATTAGACACCTTTGGACCGGAACACCAAGGATGAATGGCATTTAAGAGAAATGCCTTTTCCCCTCAAGCGCTGTAGCCAGAAAATTGTTTTCATACCAGAATTTCGATGCCAATTTATAAGCTATTTTAGCACCCTGCCAGTAACTTATTGAATGACTACCTGCATCCAGTTGTTTGTCATGAATACCTCAGTCTCTAAAAATCAGACTAATTTTAATTCTAAACATGTATGAGTTTCTTTCATCTGTGGGAAAGTATCTTTCCCCCCCCCATACAATGAAAGTCAATGGGATCCAGTGCTGATTTCTTTTGGACCCCATTGATTTTCATTTAGTTTCTTCTAAAGATCTTTTTTGTGTGTGTGTGCGTGTTCCGCAGAAGAAAGTAAGTCAGGTTTGGAACAATATGAGTAAATGATGAACATCTCAAGAAGTTCATTGTGTGATTTGTTGCAACAATCACAACATGCAAATGTTATTTTGCTCAGTCAATAAAATCATTCTTAAAATGTTTTGAAACAGTATGTGAACATAAAGCAGGGGTTGGAGAGTTCTAGCAAAAAACACAAAGCAACACTCAGTAGAGTTCTCCTTCCCATTTAAAGTTTCAACAGATCATGATCTTATCTTATAATTGAACAGTTGACCTTCCCAAAGCGGACACAGCAAGACATAAAACTTGTATCATTGTGAACAAACAGAAACACTCTTATCTAAACCCGTTTATTTAGCTGGAACGTTGAGAGCTTGATGAAACTAAATCAACTAGGATAGCAGCGTATTGAAAACGCATTTGATTTTCAAATTTTTTCATATCTATATCAAGATTTTATGTGTGGAATTTTCGATTAGACACCTTTGGACCGGAACACCAAGGATGAATGGCATTTAAGAGAAATGCCTTTTCCCCTCAAGCACTGTAGCCAGAAAATTGTTTTCATACCAGAATTTCGATGCCAATTTATAAGCTATTTTAGCACACTGCCAGTAATATCCAGTGATTTAGGCTTGACCTGAAAATGCCACTATTAAGGCTAACTGATATTTAGCACTAATGACTATAAGGACATATTGAGGCCTAAAACCGTCAAGACTCAGGCTTCGCCCAGCAAATATATTAAATTACATATTAAACATTTAAATACATCTATTATTACATAATATATTAAATGATTACATTACCGTTCAAAAGTCAATACATTTTTATTAAAGAAATTAATAATTTTATTCAGTAAATACATTTACACTGGTACAAAAGATTTCTATTTCAAATAAATTGTTCTTTTGAACTTTCTATTCATCAAAGAATCCAGAAAAATTTATCACAAAAATAACAGGCAGCACAACTGTTTTCAACATTGATAGAAACGTTACTGGAGTACCAAATCCGCATCACCAAATCAAATGGAAATTAGATATTTTAAATAGTAATTTCTTAATATTACTGTTTTACTTTATTAAAAAAAAAAATCTTACTGACCTCAAACTTTTGAACGGTAGTGTGTGAGTGTGTATACATAAAATTGAACATCACACATTCAACAAAGAGTAAGACTTATTTTCACTTAGGGGTGTACTCACTTTTGTGGCCAGCAGTTTAGACATCAATGGCTGTGTGTTGAGTTATTTTGTTATACAAGCTGTACACTCACTATTTTACATTGTAGCAAAGTGTCATTTCTTCAGTGTTGTCACATGAAAATATATAATAAAATATTTACAAAAACGTGAGGGGTGTACTCACTTCTGTGAGATACTGTATATGTGATTATCTGTACTATACAAGCATTATAATTCACTATATACCATTAACAAGAGCAGGTCAACAAGAAATGTCTTTTTTGTGTTCTATACTCTCAGATGCTGTCAAGAGCCCAAGTCAAAAAAGACTGCTTTTGCTCCACCACAAGCAGTAATGTAATCTGAATTGGAAACCACTAGGAAGAAAGAGCTGGGAGAAAAAAAGAAAAGAAAATATGAAGAAATGAATATGTTTTTTAGTGGAGCCTGGTTTAAAAACACTTTTAATTATTAAAGAAACTTCAGAAATACAAAACAATTAAATCAATTATTTCCCTTTTTTATTTATTTATTTTTATTCTCAAATTGATAATTAAACAAGAATAATGCAACTAAGGCAGAATTTATTCTACAGAATATATATAATTTCGACAAAATGCATTTCTAAGCATGAAACAAGTTAATGTATACCAAAATATATCTACTTCATCATTACATCATAAGGCTGTTGAAAGTTACTGTAAGACTTCTAACACTTGTTGCCATAAAAGATCAGCCTGATTGTTTTTATATGCTTTTAAACACAATAACATCTCAAAACATGTTTTTGTGGGATTTATCAACACGGGCAGTAACCATCTATCCACCCATCTATTCTCCAAACTGCTTAGGATTGTGGGAATGCTGGAGTCTATCCCAGAGTACAGGGGCAGTGTGTAGGTTAAAAAAAAAGTCACCTACATGTTTATAGCATGCAGAGTGTAATTGCTATTGTTACAATGAATAGTTAAGGCAGAAATGGCAGACAGGTCAAAAAGTACACAATATCTATATTCAGCACTGCTCAAAAACTCCACACAACAATTCATTATAGCCCTCAATGTGATAAACATGTCACTGGACGGATATTTGTATGTGCCAGGACAATTTAAATCTCAGTTTACACAATCTAAAAATCATATTTCAGAATAGTTGATCCTCTGTGCTACAATGGGAGATTGAGATTAGGACTGTCATTAGTGCCGAGTTACTTCGGTTTCAGAGGTTTATGATCCTTTTGTGTTTCTGATCATTGCTTCCATAATGGCCCATTGCTCCTGTGTGACCTAGCAAATAAAATCAAGGTAAACATATAATAAATAAAGTAATAAAAACTCCCCATTGTAAATTTCTAATTGATTGACTTTAAAGGGGGAAAAAAAAAAATCACCTTTTTCAAGCCATTAAACTCGCCAGCAAGGGAGACATATTCACCACCATCCATTCGAATGATCTGTGAGGAAAAAGGAGATATATGAGATGGAAATTTGTCTTTCACTGTGAAAAACATATTAGCTGCCCTGTCAGGGCTCCTTAACTTTATAAGTATAGGGCCATTACAGTTATGCACCGGACCATATAACTCCATATTGATCTCTAGAGCACTATTTTTTTTCTCTAATTCTTCACAAAATTCCCTCTGATACTCAGAGAGGGAAAGAGGGGTGGAGTGTGTGCCCTTGGCTCCGTTTCCATTTGGCTGTAAACGGAGAGGCCCTGTGGGGATGATGCTAGGTGAGCTCTCGCTCAGAGAGACAAAGCACTTTTCACGCAAGGTCACCGAACTCACCGCGCCTGATACCCAGCTGGCATAATCGCTGCAGAGGTAGGCGGCCAGGTTGGCGATCTCTGCAGGAGTTCCCAGACGACCCACGGCTATAGTCTCTAACATCAACTTCTCAAACGTACCAGTGGGATCCAGTCTGCTGAAGGCACCCTTCAGAAAGATACCGGAGGAGTCACTGTAAAGCCCCTTTTTCAGATGGATTTCATAAACTTTTAAAAAAGTAAAGCTTTAAAGATTGAAAATAATCCAAACTGGATTGATTCAGAGTTGAACTCAAGAACTGGATCAGTCTGATTTGTAAACCAATCATTCAAACTGGTTTTCACTGAAATGATCTGACTAGAAAGCATGATTCACTCACAAACTGGACTTTACAACTTCTCTCTGAACATACCTTGGGTTGTATGATAACATGTTCAGAGAAGAGCAACTTTATAAAAAATAAAAAAGCACACTACCTTGGTTTTGATTGGTCCTGGTTGAATAATGTTGAATCTCATGCCGTATCTGCCCCACTCTGCTGCCAGAGACCTGTGGGTAGATGGAATCAGTCAGATCTTTTACACATGCTCTGATTTATTTGAAATTTGTTCCACCTTTTGGGGACATCTGGTCATCCTATCTATCAGACATGGCCAAACACGGCTTCTACTGCAATTATCTTCCTGAGACAGATTTTTTTCCATTAGGTTTATCACACAGGGGAAGCAATAGTAAACATAGTGGCTCACGGTCAAGCCAAGGAAAATGCAATCAAAGGGCTGTTAAGGCTCTGGTGATCTTATGTACAGAATGTATAGAACACACTTCAAATCAGAGTGCAATTATGTGGCCACTTTTCAATTCAGCAAAAGAGATTTTTGTAGGGTGCAAATCTGGTATACAAGTACTG